GGCCCACTTTTCTTGGAAGGTGACGGCGGCAGTTGTCTGCATGTCTATCCAGCTTCTATGTGTACGGTGACAGCATAAGACCTTTATCTTCTTTATTTGTGCATGCATTTTTTATTCGATCGTTTTTACTTGAGGCTTATTCTCGGCTACTGTTCATGCGTGGCTGTGTTTTTGTGCCGCTGTGACTAGTTTGAGGCCGGCTTTCTGCTTTATTTTGCTTGAGGGACGAGGGTACGTCAAAAATGACGTATAACACTTACATATGGTTAAAATAAACCTTTCTCCAACAATGAATCTGGACCATCCATTTGGTGAATTTTAGGATTGAGGCATTTGAGTAGTTAAAATCTTTTTTTTTTTTTATTTAGTGTAGTTCATCTAATACAAACAAAGCCACCTAAAAAAAATGGAAAGTAAAAATGTTCCTTCTAAGGCCTAGATTAAAGTATCTACCAAATGGATGGCTTATGTTAAGTGTGTGAAAAGATAACTTTTTAGGGTGTAATTTTTTTTTTAATGATTGTTCATCAAAATGAAAAAATAGTATGTTAACAAATAGGGATCAAACAATTTGTTTGAAGATTGTTTCTCTATAAAACTGTTGCATGAAATCACTCCCTATTTTTAAAGGGAAAAGTTTAAATACAGCCGAGGCTCGAAACAATCAAATTAGAGCCTACCTAAAATAATTCACTAGATGAGGTTGTTTTGATGTCCAAATATCCTCAAATTGATCATCTTGAGATCAAGATGCATGGACATGAGAAAAAAAAAGATTTTAGGTTTTGGAAATAGTGTATTTTATAACTCATTTTTGGATCGTCAATTTTCAAGAATTTTAAATTTTTAGAGATTTGTCAATCTACATTATTTTTGAATCTTGAAACTTTATAAATAAAGAAAAATATATTTTGAGGCTATCACAAAGATTTTCAGTATTGAAACCACATTTGATTGTTTCGAACCTAGGCTCTATATAAACCACACCCATTTTTAAAAGGAGTTATAAATCTATGATCATTTTTGCATAATACCAAGTTATGCTGTAAAATACTATGGATTGTTGGTAGTATTTTAGTCATTTTTAATAAAATAACATAGATGCCCTGGACTGAGCTATGTGAATGTCATCTTCTTAATTTGTAAAAACTTAAGCCCAACAAAAAATGTAGTTTTGGTGCTAGTAAATATCATCTTGACGTCAACAATCATGGAAATATATAATTTTAAACTCTAAAACATGACACATTATCTGGATTGCTCATTTTTTCGCATATTCAATTATCTATCAAATCCGCACCATCTTTGGAGTTCAAATTTTAAAGGGGGACAATTTTTTATTTTCAAGTCATTGTAGAGGTTTATTTTTAGTGGTAGCTTTTGACTTACTCTTTACTTTTCATGGATATTATCATATCCACATGAAACAACTCGAAGTTCATGAGGTGGAGTAGTTAGATGCAACTAGATAAAAACTAAGGGTAAAATAGTCAATGCTAAACCACAATGTATATTTGGGACCCGGCACTCAATTTCGTATGCAGGTGAAAGCGAGGGGGTAACTTTACTTTATTTTATTTACACAGCATGTGAAGAATGTGAAAAAGACGAAAGTCAAAGCAGTGAATTTGAGTGAGACCAAATTCCCCACGTATACATTACTTTTTATGATGTATTTATATATAAGATGCAGTTTTTATGCTGCCTAGGCTTTATGAAAACAAAGTAAAGGCTCGAGGTTCACTTTGAATCCTCGACTTGCAAGCATATCATAACTTTCTATAATGGCTTTAAAATCAATTTCTAATATTGATTATAATTTTTATTTATTTCTTTTTTGAATGATTAACAATAATTTTTCATTCATTGAATGAAAAATTACTATGAAAGCAAAACAACAAAAGGAAAGAAGACAGAAAAAGGAAAGAGGTGAGAAATTAGAAAATAAAGAGAGAATCATCACCCGCTACACCCCTGACAATAGCATTAGCACATGCATTCCGCTGTCTATGGACATGGATAAAAGATACATCCTTGCCATGGAGGCACCTATCAATATGATGCCTAATATGGACCCACTACCAAGGGGTAGAGGAAGGTTGCCTACACCTCTTGATCTTGCGGATCCTTCACAACAATTTTTAGGGTAAAATGGATAATCTAGATACTGTGTTACAATATACACTTTTTTTGGGGTTTGAAATTCTATTTTTTTTTTTAATGTTTAAAATTCTAATTTTTTTTATAACTATAAATGGTCAAGGCCAAGATGATTGATTTGAGGGTTTTTTCATGTCGAATTTGCAATTTTTTGTAGTTTTGAGGTGAAGCTTTACTTAGTTTGATAGGGCATCAACCCTATCAAACCACTTCGTTTCTTTTATCACATGGAATCTACTTTGGAAGAGGATATTTACTCTCATTCGCCCTTAAAGACCCGCCAAAATGTTGTATTCTAGGTTCATGAATTTTTTTATTTTTATTTTTTTTGAAATTGTTGTTTTTTCCAAAATGCGATCTTTTTTTGTTTTCAATTTTTTTTTCCCATAAAGCCTCCACTACGGATCATAAGGATCTGAAGTTTTTTTTTTCTTTTTTTCTTTTAATGATAAGTTGGACCATCGAGACAGAAAGTTATCTCTTAGCTCTGGGCCTTCAAGATCTCAAATACTTCAGAAACTGCATTTCAGTAGTTATTCTTGTACAGAGGGATCCTAAACTCATCGTCATGTTGCTACACCATGCCATTCGGTAAGAGTCTGACGCCAAGACAGCTATGTTCTGGCTTTGGAGTCATAATATAAAAAAAAATTCTTTCAATTTCCAAAATATGTACTCATCAAATAAATTATAATTTTGGATATTGAAGATCCAAAGTACATACATTTCAGAAAACATTATAAAAAAAAAGTCTGCCGTATAATACAACATTTCGGGGAGATTTTCTAAATCACAGAAAATTAGGAGGATATGAGTGTTAATTTTCCTCAATAAATTTTATGATACTAAGAAAGAAAACTCTATGGATAAGAATATAAAAGTTTTGCTAAATTGTATAATGCTAAGAATGAAAACTCTACATTATATAAGAGTACACAATTACTAGAAGAATGACAGAATGATCCATGCTCATTTAGATGGCCTTTTAATTGGTTGAAATGATCTAAACCGTCGGATACCTGTATTTTTGTTGCGAGAAATAGATTTTCATGGGACTTTTTTTTTTCCTTTTTTTTTTGAGTAATTCAATGGGGAAAACTGGCCCCTACCAGCTTTTTTAAATAGTTTAGGAGCTAGTTTTTTTAAAACGTTAGTCGGTTGGTGTTAGTGGAAATGAAAACTACAACATGTTGACTAAGGTGTTCGGGTGCTACCACCGCAACCGAGCGTCTTTTATGATAAATTGCAACAAAATAAAAAATTAAGGATGAAAATATTGCAATAAAATGAAAGATCAAGCATGAAAATTGCAATGTAAATTCGAGGTCAAGCTTGCATAGGATTCCAAATACATGGGCATTTAAAGGTTTTCATAGAAGCAATGGAAGGGCATTTTGTCATTTTGCCCAAAATCTCAAGCCAAATGATTTCCGTCTCTCATGAGGGTATACTATTCATTTACTCTCTCAGGCAAAATTTACTCTAGTGATATTTTTTTTATCTCAAATTTTGGCAATATGATATTTAGAATCTGGCAAACAACCTCAAAAAAAGAAGAAAAATAAAAGAAAATTAAGTTTCACTCTATATGTGCCTAAATAAAATATGTTGCATTGGAACTGTCCAATTTTTTTAGTCCAATTTTTTGTGTGAATGATTTGGATGTTTAACATAAAATCCAAAATTTTTATTTAAAAATAATTGTCTAGTTATAAATAGATGGATCTTGAAACTTAGGGTTGGCATGGACCAAACCAGACCCGGAACCTGACGGGTAGACTCGACCACAAGTCCAAATATGGGTTCAAATTTTGGACCCGAATACTATTTGGATCGAGGTCCAGCCGAACCCGATCTGTACCCATAGCCATAGGGAATATGATGGCAATCACGTGTCTTTAGGCTCGCGTTAGGTGTTTATATTATCACAATATTGGCAACATTTATAGTACTATCATTGGCAAAAAAAAGAAGAACCTCGTATTCATAGGGTATACGATTGTAAAAAAATTAAAATAGCTCATAGTCATTGGATAGCAATGGATCCAACCAAACTCGGGACCAAACGGGTCTAGGTATAGGTCCAAATTTTGGACTCGAATACTATTCGGATCCAGGTCCGGATCCGGATCCAACCAGACCCGACCCATTGCCACCTCTATTGAAACTTCAAAAAAAAAAATAGAAGAAAAAAAACATCCCAAATTAGTGTTTTATCTGAAGGAGTAAAAGTATAAAACAATCTTGAGAGAGCACAGTTTACGCGCTCATTCTTATCAAATCACAAGGGCGTTCCCGTCCTATTTCGAATCTTCACTTTGGGGGCTTTCATAGGGTTTCCTTTTTCTCAATATGAAGCGGGGCTATTTTAGTAATTTCCCCCACACGCCACGGCAATGGCCTTCTAAGGCTCCTCCACCTCAGGGGCATTTCCGTCACTTCCCAAACCCCACCAGCTCACACAGAGGGTACTTTAGTAATATTTGCAAATACACCTCGCCCCATAACTGGCCCACAGCTCTTGTTGAGGGACCCATGCGCAAATATAGGACAACATTCGGGGCATTGTCGGAACTTCAAAGGCCATCCGCTAGAAAGCCGACACGTGTAACTCATCGAAAGTCGAGAATAAGCTGTAGGGTTTTGCGGACAAAGAGATTTGGTAATATATTTGTTTAATGGCGGTCCGAGAGCAGGAAAACCAGATGCTTCAAAAACGAGAGAGAGAGAGTGAGGGAGAGAGAGAGTTTTAGAGAGAGAGAGAGTTCGATCTTCCTCTTCGCTCTAGCGAAAAAGGAGGAAAAAATACATCGCGAAAGGTGGGAAAGAATTTTTGAAAAATGGGAAGAGGTAGAGTTGAGCTCAAGAGGATAGAGAACAAGATCAACAGGCAGGTGACCTTTGCGAAGAGGAGGAATGGTCTTTTGAAGAAGGCTTATGAACTCTCTGTTCTCTGTGATGCTGAGGTTGCCCTAATCATTTTCTCCAATAGAGGGAAGCTTTACGAGTTTTGTAGCACCTCTAGGTATGCCCTAATTTCTGTCTTTTTGCTTCTCAGAAATGGTGGAACTCTAAATGTTTTAAAATATTCATTAAAATCGGGCTGTAAGCTTTAAATTTACTGGTTCTTTACTTTCTGAACTAATGATATGGTTGAGCTTTTGTTGTTTAGGTCAGTTCAGGAGAGAGAGGAGGCGGAAACAGGAACTAGGTAGAGACTGATAGTTTATTTTTAAAGTGTGAAAATGTTGCAGGAGAAGGATAAAGAAGAAGCAAGATATTAGATGTAGATAATATGATTAGATTTAGTGACTGTGCACTTTGATCTGATAAAATGTTTGAGTTTCTCAAAGTCTTTTGGAGAAGAAGAAGAAGATGCCAAAGAAAATAAGGCTAAAAGCTTATAATTCAGTGTATATTTTCTCGGATCTTAGAATATGTTGAACTTTTCATGTTTCAGGTCCTGAAAACGTTACATTTATTTTGGAGAACTGGGATAATGAAAAACAATGAGCTGTAATACATAATAAGCTCGGATCCAGTGATTATTATTAGTTGCTGTAATAAAAAAGTTGAAGTTTCTGAGAAAGATAATAAAGATGGAAAAATATGAAATAAAATAGGAGTACTGGTTCTAGATTCAGTGATTACAGTCTCATAATGAGAGAAACGCGTTGCAGACTTTGAGTTTTTTCAGAAGTTTCAGGCATGAGAAAAAAGTGCAAAAGAGAAATCGTCCTTCCACTAAATATTGGCTAGTTATCTGGATATTATGCTTTAAGATTTAACCTGCTTTCAGTTGAGCAAAAAGAATATTGTTTTATTTAGAATGGAAGTATGTTCACGGAGATCTTTGGTGAAGCAGAAGGAAAATCATTTGTCATTTCAAATCATCATCATCCTGATCCGAGCGTTATCCCCAAATATGTGGGATCGTCTGGATTGAAATAATAGAATTTATTCATCTATCGTGCGAGTACTGAGATCTCTGAAAATGAGCAATAAGGAATCATAAAAAGGAAAGAAAGTAACGGGTTCCGGAACCTAGTGAAAGCGGATGTACAAAAAACAAAGGAGAAGAACCGAAAACAAATTGGTCGCAATGAAAGTTGAAGATAAGTGAGAAAGAATGCGGAAGCGTCAATGTTTCCTCATTGTTTCATGATCGATTCTTGAAGCTATATCATTATAGGGAATTGTTTGTTTGTTCGTTGATTCATTGAGGATTTCAGTCTTCTGTGCTCATAGAAAGATTAAACTATTATGTTCAATAGAGGGAGGAAACTTTCAAAAAAAAAAATATAGAAGAAGGAAGAGAATAGTTGAGTTAGATTTTAGCTTCAGCAGAAGGGAACAAACTAGTGAAAAGAGCAGAAGAGGGAATAACCTAGAAGGTAGAAAGTATGGAAGGATGGAGCTCCAATTCTTATTGTTCTACAGTCCACACCATTAAAGTGTATTCCTTTATTATTATAATAATTTTTAATTAATTTTCTGTTAATATCAGCAGGCGTTTTAGAAGGAAAACTTACAAGCTCAATACTTCGCCTTTTTCTTCTTCAGAAAAGGGAAAAAAAGAAAAAAAAAAGAAAGAAAAGAAAAATTAAAAGCCTAATTATTGGCATAGTTCTGTATTTCTTGGCATGAGTAGAATAGAAATTTTGTATTGGTGCAAATATGTTTCTAGAAGCTTCCAAACTACTTGGAAACTTTTAAAGAATGTTTATAGGATGACGAGCACAAATTTTTGTGGATTATTTTATTTTTATGGCTGACCTCGTTTTGAAATATTTATTCTTAAGATAGCTGAGATTGTTGGAATTTTGTGAGAATACAGGAATGCGTTCACTTTGTTTGCATGTATTCGATATACCACGTTTATTACTGCCTTAGAAAGTTAGAATTTGTGGGTATGATTAATGCTGTATAGTTTTTCTAGTTTGTTTAGGTTTTGAAACCTTAATGCCCTTGACGCGTGAATTAGATTATATGGTAGAATCTGTGACAAATTATTTGCTTACGTGGTTTAAGATAACTGAGGAAGGAGTTCTATTTGCACGGACTATAAATGAAGTATGCCTGTGTCAAGAATTTAAGGCTTGCAGTTTCGATTCGAGGGTGATATGGATTGAAATATATTCAAGTATGCCATGTGGTGATCTATAATATCATTTCGAGCTACGTCATTTACCATAACACAATTGATTTGCTTTATTTTCTTTGTATCGTTGTTTTTTTTCTCAATAACTAGGGTTTCTCCATTTTATCTGCCAGCTAAGGTTTAAGAACCCAACACTTACCTGCAAAGTTTGCATATTAACTTATAAAACTATGTGAAAGACTGAGAACACTAACTCAGTAGAACCTTGTGCAAAATAGATGAGAAATGCAAGTAAAACAAGGATTTAACACAATGACACTATCAACAAATACCTGAATGTAATCCATGGGTAAACTGGGGAATCCAAATATAAATTCACAAAATAAGTGCAGTCCAATCTCTTGGAAGACTTGTCAAACATAAGACTTCCACATCCGAATTGGATGTTGGACTTTAGCAGTAGCAATAGGGCATAACTAGGGTTATTTTATCCACGGCTGAGATATAGATACGAGTACCCTATGATTGGTAAGTTGTATATAGCATCCACATATCGTAAATGAAAAATATTGCGAAGTATGTTGTATATCATTATGATAATTGTTTTATTCATAGTATAAGTTAGAATTATCATATTATTTTTTACTTTAGATATATCACCGATGTTCTCAACGGTACATATGTTGCACTTGATATGCTATTTAAAAGTAACTAGTCATTGGCCATCTATTGCACTTTTTGAGAGGGTTCTCCTAATTCCACTCTCCCTCCCTCCTCTCCCTACTGGCCTTCGAACACCACTTCATTAACAAAGGAATCTATGTAATTACCTCTTTTTCCCCCCAAGTTCTCCAAGAAAATACTTCTTTTCCTCATATCAATAATTTCATGACTCTAAGTGTAGATTCTTCATTTTTTCTTTCTCAGAAATGACTCCCATGCCCACCACGACCAAATATAAACCAAAATATTGGTTACCAACATTCCATACTATAGGACTAGCATGTCCTTGACTTATCACATTCGCTCTTCCATTTTGCTTGTATGGTGATTGTGAATTTCTCATTACCCACCATGCGTTTATGTTGCATGGAAATTTGGCATGATCTTAGGAACCAAGTAAACATGAGTTACCATAAGAAAGTAGGAACAATGTAGGAAGTTCTTAGATACACCATAAGAATTAGAAAGATCATTTGACAACTTTGGCTACTTGTTGAATGTTTGACCGTGTCTTTGATTTTGGGCATCCCTGTAACAGGTTAGTGCGAGGTGCTCGTTCAATGCATGCCTCAAAGCTTAGCCTTGAGGCTGCCTTCCCAAAAGGTTCATGGGATGTTAATGAGTTCTCTGTGAGACAAGAAAATCTGGGGAAAAGAATGATTTCAATGCGCTAGTGGTTGGAAAATCATAGAAGCATCCAAAACTATAGGAGATTGGTGTTAGAAAATAGGGAGGAAGAAAGCTTACTTTTAGAATTTGTACTATATGCACAAAAGAGCTAAATTCAACACAATTTCTTCATTCTACTTAAACAAAAACATAGTACATGTATATATAGACCACTTAGGAGCTTTCTAGACTCTTTCTACACCAATCTAGGGAAGTTTTTCCTCTCATAACTTACAACCTACATGCTTGGACGAAATTACATGAAGAATCAAGAAATTTCTAGTCACTCATTCCCAATTCAAATTTGCATGCATTGCATGCTTTGGACTCCTCTATCTCAATCTTGGGACTCTTCTCTCTCAATCTAGAAATTCATCTCTCTCAATCTTGGAATTCATCTCTCTCAATCTTGGAATTGTGGTTTTAGAACTCCACACAATTCTTTTACATCATTCCAAAAGTACCCTTAAAATAACTTTTCCAAAATGTCCCTTACATTTAAAATTAATACCCAAAATACCCTTGAATATAACCAAGCTTATTTTTTACATCCCCCCTTAAGCTTGATTTTCCAACTTAGTTACTCCTAACATAACTTTCAATCTTTGAAATAATTCATGTTTGAGATTTTGTAAAAATGTCGGCAACTTGATCTTGCGTCTTTGTATAAACCAGTTCAACCTTCTTTTCTTTCACTTGGTCCCGAATGGAATGGAACTGTGTATCAATGTGCTTGCTTCTCTCATGAAACACCGGGTTCTTTGCCAATGCAATTGCCGACTTGTTATCTACATGGATTATGGTGTAAGTCTCTTGAGGCTTTAAAAGTTCTTTAAGAATATTCCGTAGCCACAATGCATGACAAGTACTTGATGTGGCGGCACGTACTCATGGAGAGATAAGCACAAAACTCAACTTTACTCAAGTTTTTCCACACTCTCAAATTTCAACCACGTGCACATTTCAATTCAAGGACCCCAAATATATAGGCGATTACAATACAATTGCCCACTAAATAGATAACTACCCATTACCTAGATAACTACCTATTACATCCACTTTTTTGCATCATCTTTAACAAACTAGCTACTACTTAGATAACTACCCATTACCTAGATAAGTACCCATTACATCCACTTTTTTGCATCATCTTTAACTCTCCCCCTTGATGTAAAATTTCATCTTTTCCTATCAAATTTCTTCTTACTTCTTACTTCTTTTTTTGCTCATACTTCTTTTTCTTCTACTTTTTTTTGTTTTTTTTTTCATGTTCTTCTACTTTCTTCTTGCTTGTTGCTTTTGATTCTTCTTCTTTCTTCTTGCTTTTTCTTGTTCTTGTTTCTTTCTTCCTTTTTTTTTTGAAAAAATAAAACATTACTTTTTTTCTTTTTCATGCCTTCTCATGGCATTGTCATGCCTTTTCATGACATGACAAACTAGAACTTCAATGTTCTGTTTTTCTAAACACAATTTCTTTTTTATGCCTTCTCATGGCATCATCATGCTTTTCATGACATGACAAACTAGGACTG